CATTGATAAACCTAGAAACCAGACCAAACTTGTTAATGTATCTATGAATTAAAACCAGTCGTACAAGACAAGGTTAGTAGCTGCATATAACTTCACTGTAACTAACTTTTTCCGTTTAAAACATTTCCATTTTTACTTTTACAGTCTTCTTTTAAGTCGCAAATTCAGCACCCTAAACCATGCTATCTGTATCGGGGCGCCATGCAGGCAGGCATCTTTTACCTATAAACTTGACCAAAAACCTGAGTTTTGTGGAACCACAAAACTCAATTCGGGTCAATCGCTCCCCACAAAACTCAATTGTGAACCACAAAAAAAACTCAATCGTCAATTGACCTGTCCCACAAAGACTCAAATTTGAGGAAACAAACTTCAATATTTGTTCAAACCCTGACCCAAAACTCATTTGTAAACAACAAAACCAATCGTCAACCGTTCCACAAACTCAATTTTGAAACACAAAACTCATCTATCGAACCGTTCCAAAACTCTCGAATTTTGGGTTGCCTCAAATATGCACACGCATGAAGAAGGCTTAACCATTGTCAGAAAACTGCGTCTGGAGAAATTGTTCATGGTCACGTTCTTCGACAATGGTAGCCCTTACTTACAATCTGTGCATAGTTGGGCACAAAATCGATTTTGGAAACGGTCGACAGAATTAAGTTTGTCTTTTACTACAAATTTACTATTTGTGCTGACAGTAATGACAGAATGAGTTTGGTTCACAAAATTGATTTTTGGTGGGACAGGATTGACAGAATTGAGTTTTGTTTCACAAAATTTGAAGTTTTGTGCAGATGACAGAATTGAGTCTGTTTGCACAAAATTACTTCTTTGAGACAGATGAATTGTGTGCACAAATCAGTTTGAGACAAATATTTGTTGAACAAAAATGCAGCCTCTCCCCTGGCGCCCCGTAAACCTGAACCACTGGGGCACAAACATAACCATGCACACACACCTATAAAATAAAAATAGCCTCCAAATCACACCTTTGTTTGCCTTAGGCAGTTAAGAAACAAGAACCTACAACTGAAATCAAGAGTAAAAAACACTCTATTCTAAAACTAGTAAATAATAATTACTGAACCATAAACCTTATACACCTCCTTGTGCAAAACATTATTCTACTATGAGCTTTTAATCAGATGTCCACATTTGATAAAGCTAGGCGCAAAAGACAAACTTGTGAAGTATATAATTAAATAACCATGTCTGTACCATGAAAAGGTGATTATGGCTGCATCAATACTCATGTAACTATCTTTTCCATCAAAGTTCCTGACACTTTCTGTCTGCATCACACGCAACTGCACATGCTTTTTAGATAAATTTTGACTTATACAAGTTTCCAATCCCGAGTTACGTGCAATCTTCCTAGGCTACAGCTGCAGATACACATTACACGTGCAGATAAATACAAAGAACATTGTTCGCACTCCAACCTTACCTGCCTGCAATTCCTCTACTTGTGTCGTGCAAGTGTATAATCTCTCTCCCCATACTGCAATCCAATCTCCGTTTCCCATAATCGCCAGACTCGGTATGCTCAACCTCATACTGCACGTACCCACCTTTACAGCAACCCTCTCGCCAAACACCCACATTTTTCATCCATCACAAATAAATAACACAGTCAGGATTGCCACACCAAAACAACCCAAAACAAGAGCAATAAATACTGAGTTTACTCCAGCTGAACGAAATGACTAATTGCACACATATTAACGTTTACACCCCTAGCTAACAGAATTCTTTACAACAGCCTAGACACATATGATTCCATAAAACGAAAAAACAAAAATACCTGATGTCTAGCGCACAGACACAGAAAGTTTATAGAACAAAAATCACAGTTTAACACATACATAAAAGAGCGCGGAAAAAGAGCTGGATAAGATATAAACTTGTTGATAACTAACTATCGTGCATATGATGTACCTCTACCTGCTTTGCGTGAATCCTACTTTGTCTACTCCGAACATCACGATGTCTGAATAGTCTTGCCTGATCCTCTTCACTCTCATACAACACCTGTGCATCTGATTACACTAAGTGTGACACACGCTCCAAT